AGGAATATCTTTTTTCTGTCTACCTTCTCTCGCAAATATATTGCAAGGGTCGTGGTAACCGCTGTAGGTCGCATATCAAAAAAAAAAACTTTTTTATTACACCAGTGATCAATCTAGAGAAATGCCCCAGTTGCAATAGTTAATAAGAGTTAATAAGACGACGGACTAATGAAAAACTGAATACAATTATTTTACATTTGTGAAAGCGACTGTCAAGACAGGGAGAGGTAGAGAACGTTTTTCGTTCCTCCTGAAAACGTCGCGACCTATTGTGGTTACCACGACCGAATGCCGTATTACGAACGAGGACAAAAAACGTGTCCCTCAATCATTGACTCACATGAGCGTTTGCATGTCCCATTGGGACGACAGGCTCATGTTGTCCAGGGCCACCTTCCATGCCGGCCGCGTGTCTTCCTGCGGCTGCGCTGCTTGTTCCTCTGCGCGTTTCGCCGCCGCTTCCACCGCGGCGCGCTCAGCCGCTTTGTCCGCGATCTGCTTCGCGTCGTCCACAGCGGCGTTTACCGGTTCGTCGGCCACAAACTCCACCACTTCGTCCTCTCCTTGGAACTTTACGCGATCCGTGTCTAGTTCCTCCATGGCGAACCAACCTTTTGGCGATGTCGCCTGCAAAAAACAGTTGCACATCATGTCGCGTCTTCGGAATAGTATTGCAACACAAAAATCCTGTTTTGTACAAAAGAGCGCGATTTAATTTCCTCGTAACTTAATTTGTTTCACACTTATAGACGATATTCAAGTTGTTCATGATTCTTGATTTTTTTTTTAATTTATGAATTTTTTTAACTCTGAATTTTTGGACATATTTGCATAAAGGCGTTGTGCCTAGCATGCAACATTAACACTCTAATATTGCTAAGCGTATTAACAGAGAGACTCAGATCGGTGCGATTAAAGAGCACAGAATATTAAATATTACACTTTGTAGATGATGAGATTCTACATGCACCAGACCACGCGTGCTACGAAGTGCTGGAAGCATTAAACCTTTCACAGTGAATTAAAAGTTCCAAGTATCTGTATATTTCACTTAAGAAACATTTCACTTACCCAACAAGTTGTTTACGAGTCTAAATGGCACCGTTTCCGACACATTCGAGTTATTGCAATGCGTATTGCAGCATACCATGATGTGCGGGCTGCATTTGCGCCTGATGGTTGCTTGAATTCTAGAAATTGGACTAGTTTGATTCTTGAAATAAACCCTTCAGGTATAAAATTTACTAAAATTGTCCTTTAGGAAATGTTGTAAATTTTACTGTGATCTGCGTTAAAATGCCCTACCTTCATTGTTAAACTAACTGATAAGACATGTTACAGAAAATAATCACAAATATTAAGCACAATTAAAAAACTTGATCACAAAATTTAGACATTTCAATTTGGAATCTTATTCAGTTCGTCGGGGTGGCTTAAAATTTTGCTCCGCATCGTGGACCTAGAGACGTTATTTATGCCCGAGACGCGGATGCTTTTTCATTGTCAAAGTTGATAAAAATATCTTACAAGCAATTCACAAAAGGTGTTAAGGTAATTAGGCTTCCCAACTGACATACATTTTTCGAAAGTCCTTTGCAATTTATTTCTCAGCTATATTCTATAGTTAATAATATTAATTTCATTTTCAAATAAACTTTTTTCCATATATTATAAAATGGTACTGAATTTTAAACGTACCCTGAATAACACAAATTCTCAGATCTTGATACAGCCTCTACAAAATTAAAGGTTCTTTACGCAACAATACATTCTGGGACTATCTTGTGTTATTGGCAATGTTATGTTGCGATAGTTGAACGTTCCCTCTAGAACTGTTAAATACCCTCATCTCGTATTAGATGCCATCATAATTTGATGTCTTGTTCTTCTTTGATGTGATTTAAATACGTCATAGTGATCTGTCCCAAATATTTCCGTCCATGTCAAATCTGGGCGTAAAATCCAGGTGGCTTGTAATGCCAATTACAGAAATCCATGCGGATTGGGAGAAGATCAAGTGTAGGCGCCATTCGTGTGCCACGTTACCAAACTTCCTTTTTAATTTTGATCATTAAATGGTCGACTTTCCAATTACTGGTTCCCCGGCAATTGTACAATCACAAGTTAACAATAAGGATTTTACAATGAAAAATGAAAATGGTGCAATGAAGAGTAGAATCTTTGTCAAAACATTGAGTAGAACTTTATATTTTATTTATTTATTTACGTCAAAAACAGTTAAAAGCTGACGTGACATGCTATGGGGAGTAGTTAATTTGGAGCTACATTTATGTCCTAAAGCAAAACAGCATTTGCTCAAGGATCAGGAAAACTGAACAAAAACCTGATCGAGATGGGTTTTTTTTTTACCCAGAAGCTGAAGTACAATATTTGTTACAGGTTCTTTAGAATTAAACAATCCAAATGGTGAATAATACACTAAATGTCATTGTTATTGACTTTCAGACACTGAATAAGATTTGGGGGTTGGAGTTATTGGGCATTACCCCCTCCGACATTTTGAAACACATAAATGTTTCATTTGGATAGTAACTCAATTCAATATACATAAATTCGAGGAAAATTATTTTTTGTCTATTTGCTCATAAATTTCTACGTACCCGACACCAAAATTCTGAATTTATACCTCGCGAACATTAAGATTCTCGATGGTATATTTCAGAATCAATCAGAAAACATCAGTTTGACTATCGGCAAAGTTCGCCTCTGAATTATTTGGATCGGATTACCCCTCCATGAAGATTTCTGGTGGAGTGGCAATAATTCTCAAAAATAATATTCATTTCCAAGGGACACTGAAAATTATCCCCGGCCTGGGAAATATTACAGTTTTCTTCAGGGATAAAGCCTCATTGTTTATTACAATCACAGCAGTGAACAAACCGCCCAATATTCCGCTAAATTCAACTCATCACCAAAGACTCTATACTCATTTCACCCGCACACCAGCAATAGGAGATTTTGCTGGGACGGTTTAGTATTTATTGTTGTCGTTTCATGAAAGTTCATATAAGATGTACTTTATGAATTACTATTGCTTCTGTTACGAATACATTATATTATTTTTTGCCTCCAAATGTATTCAAGTGTAGTCACCAAGTGTATTCTAAGTTAATTCCATAACTAGTCTCTTCATAATTAATATCTTCAATCAGAAATGAAACAATTATAGATACCCCGGAAAGCAGTAAAGCAGTAAAGCAGAAAGCTCGTTAAAACGTTTGCTGAAACTCGCTATCAAAAACTGTTCCAACTTCGTACGCTTATGTTTGAAAAAGATAAAATGATATAAAACAGTAAATGAACGAATACTATTATAAACAAATTTGTGTATAAGGCAGGTGAATACTAATCACTTCTAGCTAGTCCATTCACATTGTGTACATTCAAATAAACGTGTAAAGTGCCAAATACTATAAAAGTTCCAAAGCTTAGTGGTAATTTTATCGAATAAAAAAACAACTAACTTTTAGCACGTTATAATAAGTTTACAATTATTATATAATACGTTACTAATAATTTCCTTTATTACATAAATAACAATTACGTGTGAGAAATGAGTGTGCTTGCTAATCTGAGAGCTAATGTAACAACACCGCCTCGAACGACGCGCGGGAAATTCGAATTTACCATTTCGATTTTTTTTTTCTACTTTTCGAAAATACAGAATGCGCCGAAAATAAGACCATCAGCACTATCTTTACAGTTCTTTGCTACATACGTTAAAAATGTAGAGCCATTTCTAAGAAAACAATTGTATAAAGTTAAAAATCGCTTATCTCTGAAGCAATAATGAATGAAGGAGAAATAATGAAAAAAGAATTATTGATGATGTAAGGGTCAGTGTGAAGTGAAGTCCAATGCCAGTGCAGTGTGGTCTTAATTGAACAAATATTCATTGCGGAGTTAGATTACAGAAGTTTATTTTTCTTACGGTAATTTAATGTTTTATAAACCAGCCGGTGTTTATATTATTATTATTATTATTATTATTATTATTATTATACCATTATTGTTACTCTTATCAGTTGTTACTATTGTTTCTATGATTATTATTGTAGCATTATTATATAAATTGCAAGTTATATATTATCTTATTTATGTAATTAGCTGCCGGGTTACACCCAATTGCAGTTTAAATAAATTTATCTAAAATTATGCAAAAAATTTCATATTTTCAAAAAATTCAGCATGATCTTATTTGAAAATCTATTTTTGATGCACACATTTTATTAAGAAAAAATTATCTTCATAATTATTGTACTAGTAGGAAAACGCATGATTTTTTTAATTATTACAATTTTCGAAAACTAAAGAATTTGAACGAAAATGAGACATGTGTCATTATTTTAAGTGTCCTTTACGCTATCCGCAATCAAATGTAATAAAAAAGTTTGATATTATTTTTTGAAAATGTCCCAGGGGCTTCGTGTAAAGTACCCCCAAAAATTAAAATATCACATTTAAATTCAAGGGATGGCGACATCCGCCAGGTCGATTATGGAATAACAGTTTTGGAGAAAATCAGCTGAACAGTTTAGGCGCCAGCGTTGTTCACAAACGGACGGACAGACTTCTTGGCGACAATTGATTTCTCGTTATCAAGAACCAAGAAAACGTGTATTCTGGGTACACCAAACGTTAGGGGAATTTTGAGAATATTTAGCAACATGATTTATCCACTTTTTCGTTACCAGTGCCCGGGAATAAGAGTTTTTCTGCAATGGCAAAATTCGCCGTTTTCCCCCTAGCATTACATAACTTTCTCTGCACTGATTGAACATAACGAGAAAAAAATCGTTCCTTGGACTTTTCCAAATAAACCGATAAAATCTAGGAATGTTCCTTAACACTAGACTATCTTAGAAAGTTCATATTTTGATAAAAGTAATAAAGCACAAGCCACAGTCTTCAAAATGTACCATTTAATAAACAAGAGGTAGGCCCCTAAAATATATCTCTCCCTTTTAGGCTACAAAATGGCCATTCACCCCCTACTTATTTATGCATGTTCTGTTTGGGGAGGAGCTGCTCCTTCGGTACGTAGAACGCCCAAAATCTTTCAAAATAAAATCATTCGCACTGCCGTAAGAGCGCGATACGTTTCCAACAAACAATTGAACAGATATTTTGATCTTGCCACGATTGAACATTGTATTAACAAACTGCCAAACAAATTCTTGAATTCCTTTCCTATCATCCTATCGAGCAACTAGCATATTCAAATTAAGAAAATCCCATAAACACCACAGAAAATTTAGAATCCCCAAAGATGAATTTAAACCTCCATAAAGAAAACCTCATGATCATCCTATAACTACTTTTGTAACATTCGATTACTGAAAGCGTAATCTATTCCTCTTCTATTGATTATTTGAGGTGTCCAACGGGAGTGTTCTCGCTGTAATCTCTAGTGCTATTCCGTATATATTACGACTTTTTGATATTAGCTTAAATAATTCAAGTATTCCTCAAGATTGGAAAGAAGCATTTGTAGTTCCCAATTATAAGGGTGGGTCTCGATCAGATAGTTAAAAACTATCGACCTGTTAGCCTAACGTCAGTTGTCTGTAAGATAGAGCACCGAATTGCTGAATACATTAGAAACATGTAGAGTAGAGAAAATTGGCTATTTGTGGGCAACAAGGGTTCAGAAAGGGTTACTTGTGCGAAAGTCAAACAATAGCTTTTTGCCAGGACATGGCGGATGCACTACATGAGAGTGATAGAATCGAGGCGGCGGCAATAGACTTTCCGAAGGCTTTTGATCTTGCCCCCACTATAATACTACGTGAACTAGACAGAATAGGGCTATACTCGAGAGTGATACCATGGATTAAGGATTTTCTACATTACCGGTACCAGCGAGTAAGGCTGGGAAAGCCTGTCGGAAACAGTGTAACGTCTGGGGTTCCGCTGGGGAGCATATTTGGACCTTTATTATATTTGGTGTACGCATATGACAAAGCAGAGGGAATAGACTCAAAAATTAAAATTTTGCGGACGACTGCCTTATTTACAGAAAGATTGAGAACGAATCGGATCAAGGTAAATTACAACGCCACTTGCGACGCTTGGAAGCATGGACGGAAATCAATAAAATGAAGATAAATCCGAATGAATGCAAAATAGTTAGCTTTACGCGTAGTGAAAATAAAGGGACTTCTAAGTATTTGTTTGGGAATAAAATAATTCCACAGATAACTATTTGTAAATATCTGAGAGTGATAATTAATGAACAATTGAGAGGGGGGAGCACGTCAACTTTACTGTTGGGAAAGCGTGGAAATCTTTAAACCCTGTAATGCAAGGAAGGCCAGCACTTTCCCCTGCTCTTTCCGTTTGATCCTACACACTTCATTCACCCCCTGAGTGTTGAAAAATGTAAAAAGTTCTTCCTCATTTTCCGAAGCAATATCTTAGTGGTTCAACTACGCCTTTGCAGAGATTCAAGGTTAGGTGCGTCGTTACTACCACCTGGAGGCCTGCAATCTGCTTGGTTTTCAGTCATTTATTTATTTGCTCGTCGGTACGTGCTTCAAAGAGAATCGTTCCATTCCTCTGTCGTAAGACCGCTTGAAGTTTCCCGTATGCTTCCTCTATGGCTCGTGCCAGACGGACTGAGCTTACATTTCCTCTTCCTCTGCGCATGGGATGAGAAAGATGGGAAAAGTCTTCTTCGGTCTATCTTTGGCTTTAGAAAAGAAATTATTTTAGTCAATAGTTCGTTCCGGATATCTCCTCTTCCTTGCGGAAGAAGGCAGGGGAGAAGGTATAGTATCCATGGAGATGGATATAAGATTCATCCCCGTGGTCCCCACCCACCATGGAGCCCCACATTCCATCGGTGTGCCAGGGTTGCCACGGAGATACAGTGGGGGAATGACACAGCGCTGCCCCACCATGGAGTTCAATTCACCCTGGAGTTCAGAACACGACCTGTCCGAGCTGATTGATCGGGAGAGGGTTAGCTCCCGACTGCACATCTAGAAGAGTTCGAGGCCAAAGCAAGTGTGTTGAAAGGAATATTCCCAGAAAATACGTAAACAGCGAATCCTTAGGTGCAAAGCAAAGAGTAGCACACAGTAGTTGGGATACAATCAGGTCTCCAAGTGCCAGGTTACACATTCCGACCGCCACGAGTTGCCATGCACGGCAAACACATGGGTGGACTTTCAGCATACGGAGTGTGAAATAGAAGAGGTAGATGAAAAGAGACTGGATGTTATTTATAAATGAACGAGAATGAACGATGAGGGAAGATAAAGATGACTGGTGAAAGAAAGGAATACTTGAGAGCCCTCCCTGCATCTCTCCGACATTGAATTGAATTGAATTGAATTTGCCTTATTTTACGTGGCGAGACTCAGGCCATGAGGCCTGCTCTTCCGTCTGACCACACAAATTTCGCTACGCTCCTTTCACCAACTAGCAGAGAAAGAATGTATTTCTTGGGTGACGAAACAGGCGATTTGAATTTATCTGAGGCTTCATTTAGGATTGAGGATCTTTTACATGCAAGTACATCTACTAATATGGGACAGCCGGCTATTCTTCCCCTCCGAAGGAAGGAGTACGAAGGATTTTTCGCCCTTAAAAATCCACAGCTTCGATTCGATTAGAACCCGCCAACTTGGGTTTAACAGTCCAATACGCTAACCGTTAAACCATCTCCACCGTCTTCGCGTGAACTGACCCAACCGAACGGGAGCAGCTTATTAGAAAACTTTCGCGTAGCGAATTGAAAGGGTTCTCGTAAAGCACACGCTGCCCTTAGTGAAGCGATGTCGGCACGGCGCGGGTACATTTTCAACTAATATGTAATTATTGTTAACTATAATTGAAGTTTGAGACGTTTTTCGTTTCAGTGCGTTCGGCTTTAATTCCATCGGAACGTGGGTACATAATTTGAATATGGAGTTGAAGTTAAAGAGGGTGATGGCCGTTCTGTCTTGATTAGTCTATAAATAGTTATGTGGTTTAACCTTTTTTCTGTCCTTTTTTCAGTCGGTCGTGATATTTGTTTTTTCTCGAGGAATGATTATTCGTAATGATAAGATGTCTAGAGTGAATATGACAGGAAGATGGCCGAAGGTTAGTTCAGGTATTGTAAGTGGGGAACTGATGGTGATTGTGGTCGATTGGATAGTTAAGTCGAAGAAGTCATGTGGGCAGTCTCGTTCAAAGTGGGTTAGTGCTGTCAAGTTGGATTAGTTGGAGCTGTCAAGGGAAGGGTTGGTCTACTGTTAAGATAGAAGTCAAGTTTATGTCCGTTGGCGTTAGTACGTTTACAACCTCAGGTAGTCGATTCTGTGTGTACGTCGCCTGCTAAAACGCAGTTGTTGGAAGTTAGTAAGTCGAAGCCTTGGACTAAAAAGGGCGTTTGGTGGGGGGTTGTACATGGAGTTAATAGCTATACCGCATGATTTGGTCACATGGCCCTATTACTATTCTGGTGTTTTCAATATGGGTAGTTGGTATGGGAATGGGTGTGGGGTAGGGAGAAATAGTCGTATTCCACTACAGACTGAAAATGAATTTTAAGACCAAAGGTTCCTAGTCTGAATGTAACTATAAATACCAAGGAATCTATAACAAACTCCACTGTGATACTCTGCCATATGTTGTAAACAGATACACTAAGGCTTACCACTAGCAGATAGACAAACAGGAAATGTGTGGATGTTAATATCTCAGTGTTTGCTAAAATGTTACATCGGTCTTTCAGATCCCAAGCCCTTCGTTCATAATATTTTGTAATATCATGTATGCATTGCAGTGTTACCCCTCTCTAGTTCGTCTCTATGTGCTTATTTACCACTTCTCTCCTTGCCTAGAGAGGAACTCTTCAGAACAACTTCATTTACAAATCGTGCGAATCACGCCCTATACGGGTCTCAGGGGAAGATGGGTAAACATGTGTGTCTCAGGGTAAGATAGGCAGGGCTCGGATTCTGATGACATGTCATCTTTTCATTGGGACGTTCTAGACGTAGCTAACTTGTAAATGAATGTTTATCACGACATGTAGTTGATATAAATGTTTTGTTACTGGGACTTTTTTTGTCGTCTTTTGTCATTTTTTACCATTTTCAAATTGTATGCCATTTTTTCTACTTTTGCGTCATTTTTACACATTTTTATTCCTTTCGGGTTTTTTTGTTAGTGAATGTTTCATGAATTTGCAGTTACGCACTAAAACAAAGTTTTTATTGTATTATCAGTTCATAACGAACTACTGCAGTGGACTCTATCTGTCTAACTCTCAAATTACACGATCTTCGGTTACTTCCTCGACCTTTCAAAACTGACAGTAACAAGATCGGAGCTAAGGATTATATTTCCTCGTAAAATAAAGAATTTATGTTAAATATAATTTAAATTAATAAATTTTGTTTAAAAATTTAAAATTTGTCGAATAAATAAAAATTTGTATACAAACTTTTGAGTATTTTAAAAAAGTAAGTCATTTCCCCCTCATTTTTAAGTTATTTTATAGGTCATGTTCAAAGAATTTTTAGCTCATCAGTATCCAAGCACCTAATTATTACGCAGTAAGGGTAATGCAGTTTATCTAAATTTCTCGATCTACAACAAAGAAAATATGTAAATGGGAACGACTGACCTTTTTAAAAAAAATAATATGAAATTATTAATTAAAATAATTAATTATAAAAATTATGAAGCAATATTTTTAAAAATGCGTCAGGTGTCAGTTTCAATAAATGTAAAAAGGTGGTGTTTGGCTCATGCTGCATTTAAAATTCCCGCTAATATTGGGATGCAAACTAGTGCACTGACTGAATTCGGACAGGCTGTGCAACAGAACACCCGACATGCACGCGCGCACGGTATAGTCGAGCAGTCGATGTTGTCAGCAGTTGTTAGAGTGTGGAGTGTGTGGTGTCCGATCAGGATGTAATTGTTTTTGTAGGCTTTTGAAATGCTTATTGTAGTTCGTTTCCTTGAATAAAATGGAACACAACTTCGATATCAAGGAAATGTTCGAGGAAGGGGCTAAGGAGTTCGATGTTCTTATGTCTCAGCTCTCTGATGAAAGTTCAGGTATAAAACCTCGTAAGGAGATAACCTCAATGTAGCTTTAAGGACCGTGATATGAGATACACGAGACATTTAAAATGATTTCTATATACAATTTGTTTTCAGACGATGAATTACCATGCCCCTCTTCAGAAGTAAAGAAAACGAAGAATGTAGACAAAGTGATACGTTCGGTCGATGTGTTCTCTAATAAAGTAGAGGGCCGCAGAGGAGAGGAAATATCCTTTGATGATACATATGTTGATTTGCTTGCTAAGAAGGAACTAAAACCCACGAAGAGTAAAAAGACCGAAGAGATTGTTAATTGTGCAATGAAGAAAAGTGCTATTGGTCCAGATTTTGAAACATTGGAATCTGTCCCACCTTTTGCAATAACTAGAAGGAGAATGCTTCAAGAAAAGCGGGTAAAAATGTAGTTTTCAATAAATACAATAAGAAATACTTTTGTTACAGCAATGTGAATACAAATTCTAAATAAAGTGGCGATTTTCCCACAACAGATACTATTATATAGATATATTTAAACTCGTACCAAATTCAATATACAGGGTGCTTATAGCGGCTCAGCCGTTCGGAATATCCACATAATTTATTAGACAAAATAAGCTCACAATTGTCTTAGGAGCTTATTTTGATGTTTCCTCCCTGGACATCCTGTACACAAGTACATTTAAACCAATTTAGATGGTTAAAAAATTTGGTACATCTTAAGTTCTAAAAGAAAGTTCAAGAATGAAAGCAAGATTTCTCCAACTTTGTCATATGGTGTAGTAAATAATTTTGTCATTCCTACAACTCCTGTTCTATTACCAATTTGACATTTATTATTTCATGGCATTTTTTTTTTAACTGTACTTTTGTTAGCATTTCTAGTTGTAAGTTAAATTGGTGCTGTTCAAAGTATACTACCAAAAAAAGCTTACAACTAAAAAATATTCATTAGGTGTTAGTTCATTTTTCTCATAAATTATATTGTGGAAATTAGAAGTGGCTATTTTACTAACTAAAAAAAACTTTCTTTTATAATAGTTATTAGTACTTGTTAGATGTATTTGTACATAGTACTTGTACAATGATAAGTACATAGTATACGTACGAGTTATCATTCTCAAAGATGAAGTTCTTAAACTTCTTGATGCTTGGTTGCCTTTGTATTGATTTCCTTGTTCTCTCCATGAATTGTTCATGACGTGCAGACCACCAGTTTATAACTGATAGATTTTTGTCCATGGATTTTATTTAGAAGCATATTGAAATAGAATTTCAGTTAAGGATATCATGGAATTTGGTTCTAATCTGTTAACTCGGCAAATGAATTTACTTCTTCTGTGGATTTTATTATTTTAGAAAAAACGAGAGAGTACAAAGGGAGAAAACTGGTTCAACATGCCTGCTGCTGAAATTACTGATGAAAAGAAGCATGATTTGGAAGTCCTTAAAATGAGATCAGTTTTAGATCCTAAACAGTTTTACAAGAAAAATGTTTTGAACAAAACCCCAAAATATTTTCAAGTAAGTATACGCTTAAGATCTTTTAAAAACAATGTTTTGTTTACAAAAAATACCAGAAATTTTCTTTCTTTTCATAGGTGGGAACTGTTGTAGAATCTCCTGCTGACTTTTACAGCAGTCGAATTCCCAAGAAACAGAGGAAGAAGACTATGGTTGATGAATTGTTGGCAGATGCAGAATTTCAAAGATACAACAAGCGACGATACATTGAAATTATTGAACAACGTAGGAAGACAGATTTTAAGGCTCATCGTCTTGCAAGTCGTCTTAAACGCAAAAGAAATACAAAAAAACAAAAATCAAAACAGAAGTCCTGAGTTATTCTATGCAATTTTGTAAAATATCAAATTGAATAAATTATATTGAAAACTTCACTTTTATACATTAGTTGTTTTCATGGGTTGTGTATATATGTATAAATTATATTAATATTTATATGATTATATAATCACATGAAGCTCAGAACCAGTGGCACCTTTTTCAGAAACAGAGAATAATTCTGGAAGTGTGTTCAAGGGGCTTATTTGATTAAAAAATAAACTGATACACATTGTATCTTTTAATTTCCAACTTGTTGATTGCACAAATGATCAATGGGTTTTAACATTGTAGATTTCTGATGAAAACAGGTTTCAACCAAATGTCCATCTTACTGCAATTGCATATACGTCCATATTTCAAGATCTGTTTTGATGAAACATTTAATTAATAAAAGATTTTATCTTCATAATTGTAGTTGTAGGAAGACTACAAAAATATTTTGAATTTTTGCAACTTGAGAAAAATCAGATTACAAGGAAAATGAGACCTGCACCATTATCTTAAGCGTCCTTTACGCTATCCGAGAAAATTTAAACCATTATTTTTTTAAATTTAGAAAATGTCCTTGGAGTTTCATGTAAAGTACACCCCAAAAATTAAAATTTCAAATTCAAAAGGGCTGCAATGGAAATTTCAATTTTGGAGAAAATTGGCTGAACAATTTAGGTGCTAGTGTAACCACTGATAACATTGGGATTATTGGGGTATATGGACTGAATGAGAGATCAAATGCACTTGGAATGTAATTGTTGAGGAATATACATGTAACTACTGTATCATATTTGTGTTCTGGATATAATTATCTCATCTTAGTGATAGTGTCTTATCCTGCATTGTTGGATCATTGTATAAACAATGCTTCCAGTGTAATTATTTATCTTCTACAAAAATTCTGCTTATTTCAAGGATGATAAAAAAAATAAAGGCCTCTATCAACTGCTCCTCTTTTTTCTGGAGGAAGATATTGATCTTATTTCTGCAAATGATTGATGCTGTGCACATTCCTTTTAATGTTGACGAAATGACATAAGGAAAATATAGCTGGTCTTCTGGAGGAAAAAGGATGTAGAAGAAGAAAAATTGACTGTGCAATTGTCAACTCAGGAGAATATTATATATTGCGAATGAAGAAAAGATGTCAGAACTATAATTTCACTCTTACTTAGCCATGACTAATGAAATCTGAAGTCTGTGCAAAAGGAAGTGAATGCAATAATGAATAAAGGAATACACACAGACTGGGAAATCCTATTTTGGTCAACCCATAAACACATCCCCACCTAAAGAAGTACGTTATGTGGATGTATGGGTACCGAGAGAGGTAGCTCAAGGCTTAAATTTGTCACAGCAGTGCCTCTGACATGATTATCCTTCATCATTGACTTATCCTCACCTGTTTCTTGCACCACTTACACTTGTACTTGCAGAACACTACCACACTTGGGAGCTAAAAAATGTTTTCGGCAGAGGCTGTGCCCTGCTAGTGAGAGATGCTATTTGGGGAAAACCTGCAAGCTGACAGGTAAGTCTGCATTGGATCTTACCATCCAACAGGGGAAAATAACCCCCACCTCCCGTGCTAAAAAAACATGCATTACATTTATAAGACTAATGAACTTAGCAACTGACGCTCCAGGAATATTCAGTCAATCAATCATAATATAGAGCATGTGATTATAAAGGGAGAAACTAAAACCAGAAGGAGATGTTGATTTTGCAAAAAGCACTGCAGTTTACAAATTTTAAAAAAATTTTATCTCCATTCATACAGTTTTCGATAGTTTGTCAAGATTAATCAATATACCCTAAGGTCCCAAAGTTGTGTATTCGCAACATTTTGTAGCTTAATTAAAAATTTAAATGATGAAAAACCTGTACTGGATAACAAGAATATCATATTGCTAATATTATTTCATTCCTTCACTGAACCAAAGACTAGCATCTGAATAATATTAAGTCATCCATCAAAATTCAATTGCTCAACACAAATTGAAAGTGGCTCTTGCATTTGATTTTAACAACACTGTCATATTGAATATCAGCAAGAAAATTTTGCAGATATACAAGAGACTTTCTACATTAAGATACAAAATACTACAAACACAGTACACATTGGTGTATGCACAGGGAGACTAGAAGCGTTTAGTAATAAAAAAATGTATTCACATAAATATGTTAGTCTATCCATGTATCTATATAGAAACCCTAAAAAAATTGTTAACAGAACTAAAATCAACTGAAAACAGCTAAAATGTATGGACTATCCCAAAAAGTTGATCAAGTGGGAATCAATCACTCTACAACCATCTAAAAATACAATTAAAACCTCAAAAATTGACTCAAAATAGTTGTACAGTAAAAGGTAATGTGAACATTAAAAAAGTTATTGGCGAAGGGTATGTGGATGACCCCTCTCATTTTAGGCTGCACATGCCTTTGACAGTACAGAAACTCAACATATACCACTGTGTAGGAAATGTTTTTAAAAAATGTAAGAATTCTTTAATTTAATAATTTTACCAAGCCAGGTTACCAGTAGGGAATGAGTTTTGATTGTAATAAATGAGTATACAAGATATACATATATTAGATCATTCTGGTTAGTGACATTTTTCTCTCCTGTCTTCTTCAAACCTGTCCACCTTCAATATGAAAGCTAGAGACTTCTTTCTTAATTCATTCTAATTTATAATACATTTTTCAATTTAATATACACTTCTTTCAAAATATGAATAGTATTCTTCTCGTAACTGAATTTGTGACAATGGTTCACAAACTTTCTTAAAAATTTTCGTACAAAATGTGATTCTATTCTGTGATGTTTTGAAATTCTCATCTGAAATTATTATGGGAATGAAAAACTGACAATGTTTAATTATTATTATTATTATTATTATTATTATTATTAGTATTATCATTAGTATTATTATTAGTATTATTATTATCATTATTATTATTACTATTATTATAATAAAACTAAAGGAAACTACACTATTGTGTAAATTGGGAAAATCTGTAAATATTATATTCTACTACATTTTCTATGAAGTTATTTAAATTTGACAAAATTGTACGTTAAGGAGTATAAGGTCACACGTTTTTAAAGCTAAAAAACCTTTCAAACAATTCCAAAGACATTGTTGCTGAGGCAAACAAATATTATTGAACAGATCTGAGATAAATAGATTCAGCGTTATTATGCATATTATTGGCCAATTTGCAACAAAAAGATCAATTTTTTTATTTTCTCAATTCTCCGTTGATTTTCACACTTGTCAAATCTCATATTTTATCAGAAGTTTTATGCATTGTCTCAGAATGAGGATAATAATAAAATTACAGAAATTTCAAATCAACAAAGACTTTTATTCATTCTTTCAATTGACATAACATAAGAATGGTAGCAGTTCCAACATTCCATTTTAACAATTATAAAATCAGCCCTCATAGCAAAATCATGACTTTTATGGCTTTAATAACATTATATACATTGTAAAAAATACATATCATGAACTGTCATACCCATTATCTTGTGAAGGGATAGACGAGACACTCATATCTAATGTTTCACTGAAAAGCAACTTACGTCTCCGAGATAACGAGGAATTTAAATTGACATCATCCATTTCCGATTGATCCTACAAAATGTATACAATAGCGATTAATTATAACTAAACATATTTAACTCTAATACAGAGCATTTGGAATGTGTACATACTTGAATGAATGTTTGAAAGGGTTTCAAAACTTCTTCAATGCCCTTTGGTAGAATACTTGGGAATGATACATCTGTTTGTGATGTGGCTACAAAAAACATAACACAAATGTAAGGTATGGAATTTATCTCCCAAGCAAAGAATTAGGTATTAACAATTCAATATAAAAATTAGCTTTAATGTCTGAAAGACTAAAAATTTTGTAATTACCACTTGAGATTCCACTGTCACATGAAATTCCATTCAAATGACATGTACACTGCACATTTTCAACACTGTCTCTAGTTAACTCAATATTTGTGTTAACTTGTTGAAACGAGTGAACAATAGGAGACAAGCCAATTGGAGACATTACACTAGAACGACCCAACGGAGTTCCAAAACTGCGAATTATTGTATTTTTTGGAGTGTGTATCTGTAAAACAACCTTTCTTTACTTGCTTTCCTTCCAGAACATTCAAATTAATGATCCTGAATGAAAAAGTAAAAAATTAAAGAGATGTGCAAAAATCATACCGTAGATGAGAGTAAATTTTTGTACAAGTTGTAACATGGGCTACTACAATGGAGATCATCTTGAATTGTAGATATAATCTCTGTATTAGTCAAAATCTTCTCTGTGTTCATTAAATCAGAATCAGTCTCATCATCTTCCTGAAAGTTAATGGACACATAGTTTTCAGTTCAGGTCAATATGTTCTAAATCAGAAAACATACAAAACTATAAAGCAAATTCAAGCAAAGTTTTCAAAAAAAAAGGCTGATGAACATGCATGATTTAACATTGCCAGTTCAATTTACTTTTAATCTTGCCCTAACTAGAAATAACTGAGATACAAGGTCTTCCTCATTATAAAGAAACAATTATTTTCACCTACCTTTTCTATTTGATACTTTTCACTAAGGGAATCAAACGGTGACAAAACTTCAATGGGAACAGTTAATTCTGTCTGAGTCCATGCTGTAAATTCAAGGCACATGTTAATTTTACTTTCCCTTACTGCCACAACAAGTCACCCATGATGTAACTGTTCATAATAAATCACTCAAATATATTTGTTTCATGGTTCTATTTTTGAATAAATTTTACAAAAACATATTTATGCTTGAAAATTTGTTCATCAAATCACCACCTTCTGCCTTCTAATCAAACAAAACCCATTCACACAATGTTCAACGCACACACCCATGTAAGTGCTAGTCTCCCTTAGAACGGTTCCCCACGTGGGGTGAACCAGACTAGCTAGGTGGTAGGTTGCAATCCTGGCAGTCAGCCTGGGAAGTACCATCATTGCACCTAGGTGTAGGGCAGGCGCCCTTATCCCAGCATTTTCTCTCTCTATCACTTCCCTAACATCTGTTTGAAGCCGGTCCCACAGAGGGACCACAGGGACTGTCCAATAATCGGTACGGTTTCAGGAAGGCGATATCAGCAGTGGATGCAATTAGGGTCATCATCAACATTGCTCGCAAGGCTTTTGATGGAGAATGATGGAGAAGAGGCACTAAGTATTGCACTTTCGTTACCCTCAACTTCAGGAACACATTTAATACAGCAAGGTGGAAATCCACCCTTGATGCATTGAAAAAATTGGGAGTTCTGAATTGCATAACGATCATAGTCAGAAGCTATTTTGAGGAAGGGGTTTTGCTATATGAAACAGACCGTACTAAAAACCTATGGTATTTCAAGTGGTGTACCCCAAGACTCAGAACTTCGCCCACTGTTGTGGAATATATGACTTCGTTTTGAAGCTCCAGCTGCTGGAAAGTGCTGGGGCTATTGAAATTGCTGACAATGTTGCAATGGTAGTGGTTGACTATGAGGTCATGCAGGTTGCCAAGGTTACCAGTTGACCAAACAGAAAATAGAGGTTTTGCTGACAAAAGTGAGAAAGGATTTTACTCTCAATGTAAGGGGTTGTAAAATAGCCTCCCAGCAACCTGTAAGATACTTAGGAGTCCAGATTGACATGAGACTGCACTTCGATGAGCACTTGTGCATAGTCTGTGAGAAAGCTTCTTGCATGGCCTTTGCCTTGGCACAAATTTTGCCTAATATAGGGAGTCCAAGGCAACGTAGCTGAAGCTGTCTAGCTCTGTTAACTCTGTGCTGCTCTATGCAGCCCCCATTTGGGATGATGCCTTTGGGATCCAGTCACACGCTCGCAATGTGAAGTCAGTGTATAAAAGTTTTGTTTTGATGGTGGCCCAGGCGTTTCCCACGGTTTTGTATGCTGTTTGTGATAGCCAACATGCTCCGTACAGACCTCATGGCACAAGGACCAGGCTCTAAAGGTGTAAGCAAGAGGGAGATACAAATAGGAGGATCATCATGAAGGAAGAGAGGAGGGGATGGCGGCAATGGCCCAGTAACAACAGCTATCACTGGAAGACAGACATTCAGTCTTATTCCTGACGTAACAAAGTGGACCCAATGAAACAAGAGATTTGGATTGTTATTTGACCCACTTGTTAACTGGGTATGGGTGCTACCGAGCGCATGTTTTTTTCACAGCCCTCACTTTGTAGAGGAGAGGGAAGAACTACACTGACCCTTTCTGCAGGAAGTGACTCCAGATACCATCAGCACTAGGGTGCTGGAGTTCCAAGAGTATTGGAGGGCGATAGCCACCTATGCCACAAAAGTTTTGGAGAAACTTCACTTAGAGGAGCAACTACAAAGGAGTATCCTGTGGCATAAGTTGTCGTACAGCAATAAGCTGATCTACCCTTCCTGTGATGCAGTGTCTGACAGCGGTTTCACAGGAAGAGACTGAAGAATGGGAGGGGTTTTGAGTGGGTAGGCATAGGCTAGCTGTGAATCCTACACGCGGCAGAGTGCAGGCCCTGCAGTGTCTTCGGAAGAATTTCCCATCTGAAGCTAGAGATTCCCATCTCAATGCAATTTATTTTTCAATATTAGATCCTTAAATAATTTCAAGTGCAGTTGTATAAAAATTTGAGTTGACTTTAATGTGAGTACTTCCATGTAGAGTTGATGGTAATGTCTTGGACTACTTTAATGGGAATGAGAAAGTCCTATCAACAAGAATGGCTTCAAGTACCAGAAGAAAAACATTTTTCCATGTTAGTTCTTAGCATACGAAAAAGATGGGAAAGAATAGCAAAAGATAACGGTTGTAGATCACATTTTTGCTGATGTCAATGTTTGCCATCCCACTTATTGATTTAACATTATTACGAAAAGTCTGTACTATGTTGAAGCGCCTCTAATTTTAATTATGTGCCATGATTTTTTTTTTTTTACTTTTGTATTTGTAGCTTTAAAAAATTAAGTATGCAGCACTTACTGTAATGAACAGGTTTTTGGGCAAAAGGATACACATAACTAACATAATAAATGTATTTGGCAAATGTGTTCTTCTGAATTTGTTTATAAATAGAACCATGGCACACACCATAAATATTCAAGAAATATTAATGAATAATATTCCTATAGAATGATTGCTTTTTAATTTGGATATTCCTCTACAAAAATATTTAAACATTTTACACTAAAGCAATTTTTCACCTCACTTTTATGACCTTTACGAGTAATTTGTCTTTCCCTTGGCCCAGGAATGACAATACCTTGACCCACAAAATGCATTCACTTCAGGGGAGATGTATAGCAAAATGCAAATATACACATAAATTGAACTTTCTCCTTTAATTCTAAAAGTATAAAAATTAATTTTGACATATTAATGAATACCCTATTTACTCGAATATAAGACGAAGTTTCCCCCCCACATATTTCTGTCAAAAAATACCAGGTCGTCTTATATTCGCAGATTAAGACTAGTCGGTTAGGGTCTTATGTTTTTACATTACCATTGCATGTCTCGAAACTCGTAAATTTTGATGTAACAAGCTACGAAGACTAAAAATATCGCGCGTATCTGTAATACGTAATCGGCATCCACCGCAAATTTGCCGGGCAATTCAGACATATATTTGAACGGACTAGTAAAGAGAAAATCTCAAACAAATTGTGTTGTGTTAAATGAAACTTAACGTGAAAACTAATTCCGAGATTTCGTTACACGATGCGGGTTCGACGGGGCCGCGCGGAATCTCTGTTCGACGTCTGGAGAGTGCGAGTCTTTTTGCAAGAGACAGAAATGAAAATAATCACATTGGTAGACGTACGCATTCTATATCCAAACACAGAAATCGATGATAAAAAGTATACTTTCTTGGCCAAAATTTCCCAATTTTGGAAACTTGCCACTGCCTCCCACATTACCCGCCAAACGGAGGAGCCGAGGTGTACGAGTTCGCAGATCAAAACTATCGCACAAACAGTAAATGACGCTATTTGTAAGTTAAATCTGTTATAGAATCTGAAAAAACCATTACAGAGGCCATTACCAATGCGGGACAGATCTGGTGACACAGATGGGAATGTTCTCAGGTGGCATCTGATGACAGACCAAGAATAACGCAAATTCAACGCGCCAAACTTTCAGAGGGGGCCTAGAAGGTAAAAATGTGTCGCTGCGCGAAAGAAGGACCAATAAGAAACAAACCTAGATACATGTGAAGATTATGACGGTAGCGATAAAAACCATGATTATGATGTTTTTAAAGAACAAGAAAATGAGTTCATCTATAAGTCTTAACATTCTAATCAACAAGGCAATTTTCTAGTAAATAAGACAATTTGCAATGTTATTTTTATTTAAAAAGTAAGAACAGTTGAAAACAAAAAATTCTCTGGAGATCCCTTCTGAATTAGGGGGTCATCTCATAATCAGAGTCTATTTATATACATGTCAATATGGTATTATTCACAAAACTGTGCAAGTTTTTCCAAAAACATTTTTAAAATTTGGAAGAAAATTATGAAATTTTGCATGCAGAACACTACAAAAGAAATTTCATGTCATCAAAATGGATTATTTTTAATTCAAAGTGAAATAAATTTTGTAAAATTATGCCTTACATAGGCATTTTTGCCAAGGGACAGGAACGTTTGAATGTGATTCATTGATGTTAGAAGTGGTTACAGAAAATCAATCTCAAAGATAATTGAATCTTTTTTCCCATTTGTCTTTAAATCCTCCTGAAACATATGTTTCATTGTCTTTTCCAGAAGTCTTTGTTTTATTTCTTTCAATCTTGAAAGCAATCGCAGATATTTTTTGAACAGTTTCATCAGCTTCAGCAATACGAATATCATCAATTGCATTTAGGATTTTCACCCTATTATATCCTGATTTATAACTCAATCTAACAATAGTTTTCACTCTTTCAATGTTTTCATCATCGAAGTTCAAAACCCCCATCAAATTCTACAATTTTCACTATAATACATGAATCAAATGTTTTTGCACATCTCTTCCAGGTGAGGCCAATGGTTTTGCACATCTCTTCCAGACTTTGATAATTAACTTCAAGAACCAAGAACAATGATATAAATACTATCACTATCACTATTAACCACTTCTCATACACGAACAGAGAAACAAAACCAAACATACATAAACTACATTTCCAAGTCAGCACTATCCAACCATTAAGAAATCAACTTGCCTCTCAAGGGGCATGTCCCTGCCTTCTTGTTGTTCTCACGAGCTCCAAGATGTATTAAAATTTGTAAATCTTCCAGAAAGAATTTTTGGATAAAATGCATAATTTTTAAAACACAAAATTGATATCTTAAGCACGTTTCTGCACATATTTCCTTAAATTTAGCAGATGTCAATATTAAAATGTATTGTTAATGAAAGATAGCTCATCATAACAAATGTATGACCTATATTCAAGAAATTGATTACCAACCCTTCAACACAAGAGCTTAGGTTAGGTGCAGTATCATTCCAACAACAGGGAAGGGAAAGTGTACATCACCATGGTAGCTGGTAGCCAGCTCTGGGCACTACTACAACATTCCTCCATCTCCACATGACAATCCACAGAAGGGAGAAAAATAGCATGATGTCCAGGTACCAATACAGGTGTATAAACATAGAAAGAATATCACAAGACAGCATTCCATGTTGAAGGGTTAATAAAAAATCTCATTTTTAAGGAATGTAAGGCTAAAGGCATTTAAAACATAGCTATAAATTTTAGTAAAAAAATGTTTTGAAAGGTTTGCAAAAGTAAACAGGTTATTAATTAACGAAGAAAAATCAAAATAATTGCAGAACATTACCATCTTTCTTAACTGGAGGAAAAAGCTCTTGATCGTCAAAATCAAGAACAGTAGTCACAGGATCCATTGTAATACTAGCTGGCCGAGCAGGGGATTCATTCAAGTCAGAAATTGTAAGCGGCTTGTAGTTTTCAAATGTTCCCCAGGGACTTGGCACAATAATATTGCTTTCAAAAAATCTGAAATTAAAATAAAGAGGTTTTGTTGACTAAACATACATATCAAAAAGGGAGGGAGAGAAGAGGGAGAGAAGAGGGAGAGAAGAGGGAGAGAAGAGGGAGAGAAGAGGGAGAGAAGAGGGAGAGAGAGAGGAGGTAGAGAGGAGGTAGAGAGGAGCAAGAGAGGAGGAAGAGAGGAGCAAGAGAGGAGGAAGAGAGGAGGAAGAGAAAAACAGAAACAGAAGAAAGAATAAAACAGTAGGAGGTAAGTGTACCTTATAATTGCCAAGAGTTTCAAATTATACAGGAAACAATTGAGAAGGCAGTCTACTTTCTCAAATATTTTTTTCCATTCAATTTTTCAACAGAAGCAAGTACAAATATTTATTATGCTTTTAAAGAAATCAATGAACACAACTCCTATTAATCAAAATTTCCAAATATAATAAAATAAAAATAGATAAGACTTACTCTAACACAATTTTTCAGTAAATGTGTTTTGGTTTTGTTGACTCGTTCCAAGTAAGCATTTCTTGACATTAATATAAGCAAGAACTAAACCGAATTATTTATAAAACCAGGTGCAATTACTAATCAATACAATACAATTGATGCCTTTAAGTATCAAATATACACAAACTGTTGTCTATGAATGTAGCCAACATATCAGGACTTCTCATTCAAAAATTAAAACAATACATACTCACAAAATCATAAACTAATAGGACTCAATGCACGATTGTCCTCTTAACTTATGATGTGATAATGATTTAATTTTTTGACGAGAAAGTCAGCATTAAATCTTTATGAGAATCAAACATGAACTAGTGAGTGGTGCCAAGCAGCACATAATTTCTCACCCATATTTTATCATGAAAATTAATGCGTAAAGTATTCAAATTTTTGAAAAAGAGCATACAATCTATTTCAAAATGTATCTGGAAGGGACAGATTTCATTAAGGGAAAAATCTCTTATCTTTAATATTGGGGTTGTAAGTAGTCTCCGAAAAAATTTTGAACTTTTGCAATTTACAAAAAATCAGGATTTTTCAAGGAGCATGAGTCTTATACCACTCTCTCAAAAGTTCTTCACACAAAAGTGCTTCATGTAAAGTACCCCCCATAGTAACATATCAGTTTCAAATTCAAGAGGTCATGACATCAGTCAGATTGATTAGGAAATATCAAAATCGTCAAAATGGTTTTGTCACTAGCGTTGTTTATAGACACACAGATGGACAGGTGTTTTGCCGTCGATTGATTTTTCGGTATCAAGGACCCACAAAACAAAGATTCTGGCTACACCACGTATTAGAGGACCTTTCTAAATTTAGCACCTGGATTTGTCCACTTTTTCATTACCAGGACCCTGTAATAAGAGTTATTCTGATGAAAATTCCCCCTTTTTCATGCAGTATTACATAACTTTCTCTCATCACCGTAGCAAGAAAGTAAAAATTTAAGGAAGGGTTACGACAAAAGTAAGAATATTGTATGCCAAGAAAAGCTTTGTAATCATATGAAAAAGAATGACACAAAAACGTTTTTTCAAGCTGACTTTTTAAATCCATCTGTGGCAAGAAAACAAAGTACCATGAACTGTGAAAAGCTTTTAGCTATAAAAAAAGATATTCCATATTTAAACAAACTGGATTCAGACACTTCATTACCTGGTCATGATTATTTTTATTATCACCTAATAAGGTTAAAGAAAATGCAATTGTCAATTGCCTATAAATTCCGTTGACAATGCAAAGTAATTTTCCCAGCTTTACCCAACCAGTGGTGCATGAGCACACCAAAGAAAATGGGGAAACTTTGTTACGGCAATAATTTTTGGTATTGAAACTCCCAAGCGTGTCAGAGCTGATAATATACCTCAAGTCATTATACTTATATCTGACAATAAAGGCATTTTTGGCAAAAACAATATACAACCTTCAGTTATTCTGTGAACGAAGTTTGACTTAGCTACTGGATGCATCACAGCTTAAACTACAGATTTCTGGTCTGTATGCTTTTAGTAATAATTATTTTGGGCATGTCCCTTCTATACCAATGCTTCTTACAGCTTTTGTCAACAAGGATAAACAAACTGATAAAAAAAACTAATGTTTATAATTTTATATTAAACTTTCATTCTGTAAAAATTATTTTCTCTATACTTTTACAGTATCCTTTTTGAAAGCTATCCAATAAATTAACCGAACCCTGATGATTCAGCTCTAAAAAGTTAAGTTTTCAGATTTCAATAATATATTTTGTCAAAAACATTTTGAAAATAATTTGCATCATGATTTTTAACATGTCTGTGCTTTCCATTGAGCACTTTAAAAAACCCAAAACCCCAGTAGTTTAAATGTTTCACCTGCTGATATTTTTCTGTGCTTCTTGTTCTGCATGTTCATCCCAAGATTGATCACTCTGCATCTGAAATTCATCAATCTGAGCTGGCAACAAATTGGCTAAATCTTCTATAGACCAAGAAAAATTTTCATTCTGAAAAGAACAACCATTCATAAAATACACAAATTGTTACTCTAAGACATTGTAATGCCCTATCCTTGCCAACACTCAAATCATAACCTTCTGCGATTCACAAAACAAAATAAAAATTTATAAAAAAGAAATTCAAGCAACATTTTTCATTTAAAATCTTAATTATGAAAGTAGAAGACATCAACAATATTACAATAGTACCACTGAACTTTTGAATACAACATGCAATACATCAAATCCACCATAACATGTAAAATAAAACAAATTCAATGAACCTAGTGAAAAATGTATCTGTGAACTGTGTAATCAAAGTGTGATCGATACCATATAAAATGGTGTTCAAATAACAAAAAATCAATTTGTGAATACAGAGTTTAAACAAAAATAAACACTCCTCCTCTTTATATCTAATAAGAGTGACATCGACCTTCAAAAATTGATGTAAGGTACATTTCACATTCACTCATTTCCTTTTTGAAGATTTTAGAAGCCTTTACTTACTTGTGAAGGACTTATTGCCTTTGTAAACAATGTAGGGCTAATGAACGGCATATGCAATCTTTTTCTCAAGGATTCGTCAAATGGATTTTGAACAAGAACATTTTTGAAACGAGATGGTGGGGTGGTGATCACAGGCAATTTAGTATGTGGCACAGAAGGTGTTGGCTCTCTGGTCCTTGGCGAATACACCTCATTTTCACAAATTTTTGACAGTCTTCTTTCTCTCACAGGAGTTTCACATAGACTAGGCGATCCAGAGTAATTCGGCGGTTTCTTATACGCAGGTGACGTACGCACAAAATTGTCATTTGTATACGTGGTTTGTTTTCCTCTTTCCGCAGGTTCTTCTACGTTTCGCGTATTATCCATCGTATTCTAACACCTACTATTACAATTTTATATATCACCGGCTGTATTCTCTCACAACAACAGATTAACGTCACATCGTGTGGTCATATAGTCATTTAAAAATGGCCTAACCAAATTTCGGAAACAAATACCTCCTACAGCTGTCGGTTTAGCCAACATAATACTTCAAATTATGACTACCATCTTCACTGAAACTATATACATGTGCAGGGTAGCTAGAGAAACACAAAGTTGGTATTAACATTAACAGTCGTTAGTTTCCTCTCTTTACTAAACAAGTCATTTGAAAACCTGTACGTTACAAGGACATGTCGATTTCAAATATTATTTATAAAAACTGACAAGATTCTAATTTATTTTGTCTCAAATATTAAATTTTAATATTTATTACAAATTTAGTTTAATAATTATATTATGTTACATATTCAAATGGAATCAAAGAAGAGAATGTCGGCCTTGACAAAATTAACAGACACGATTTCAGGACTTTTTTAAGCCCACAAAATTCAGAATTTTATTCTGCGTCCTTGACTTTACCAATTCCGTATATCAATTGTAAGTGACACGATAGAGTCGTGCGGTTGTGTTGATGAAGGTTGACCAGGTGTTTAGATGAAGTTGCGAATGGCTATTAACGCTTTGAGTTTTATGTAGTGGTGGCTTTAGTATTCGCAGTGCATTCCGCGTTTAAATAGTGATATTATAAAACTATTTGGATCGTCCGGTGAATTTTATTTTCGTCTTTTTCTGCAATTAACAGCTAAAATGGAGTGTTTTTGTAGATATTGATTGGATATGGCCAAAATCCCCAAAAAACGGGGTGAAGCAACAGATATGGTTGACGCATTTTTACCAAAACGTATAAAACAGGAAGGTAAGTTATTTATAAATCAATGGACAATAAAACCGTATATTATGGGATGGCTCATATTTACCAACAGAGAACGGGCGCCAACTTCGAGGGTCACCGCGCTAAGCATTTAAGATTTGAAGTGTGGCACACCTGCTTGCATTTTTCATGTTGCTCATGGCGTGGTCCGGTCATTTGTAAAGTGAGAACATGGTTTTCATGGAAATAAGTCCGAAGTTGTTTCTTCGTTTGATGTACTGCTTTAGTTGATTCGGTGAATCTCTGCAATATTTTGTGTTCTTTGACATTTGTGATTTATATTTTGGTGTCATAGCATCTAGATTTTCACAAACCACATGTGTTTTATTTGAGGTTAAAGATGTTGCGACGACAAGCTCGTTTAAGACGGGAATATCTTTACCGCAAATCGCAAGAAAATATTAGACGTGCTATTCAAGAGAAGAAGGAAAAGTTGAAGAAAAGCTTAGATGAAAATATCATAATTCACCCGGACTTGAGAAAAGAAGCACGTACTCTTGCAAACAAAATCGAATGGGAAGACAAGGGTCCAGCTTTAGCTACTGCTATTGGAACGGAATCGGGTGGAACCAGTGGAACTCATGAAGATGATGAATATCGATGGGCTGGGGTTGAAGATCCCAAAATTATAATAACTACATCACGGGACCCATCGTCAAGGTTGAAAATGTTTGCCAAAGAACTGAGATTGATTTTTCCCAATTCACAAAGAATGAATCGTGGTCATTATGAAATGAAACAGTTGATGCATGCCTGTCGTGCCAATGATGTTACAGATTTTATAATTGTTCATGAACATCGTGGGAAGCCAGATGGGCTGATCATATGCCATCTGCCTTATGGCCCAACAGCTTACTTTACTATGAGAGATGTTGTTATGCGGCATGATGTTCCTGATATGGGAACTATGTCAGAGCAGTTTCCACATCTAATTTTTCACAATTTTAAAACAAAGATTGGTTTGAGAGTTATGAATATTTTGAAGTATTTGTATCCAGTTCCTAAGGAAGATAGTCGACGAATTATGACCTTTGCTAACCATGATGATTACATTTCTTTTCGGCATCATGCTTACAAGAGAGTTAATGGGACCCAAATAGAGCTAACTGAAGTAGGACCAAGATTTCAGCTTAAATTGTATGAAATTAAACTGGGAACAATTGAAAATGAGGATGTTGCTCAGTCAGAATGGGTCTTGAGACCGTACATGAACACTGCTGCAAAGAGAAGGTTCTTGTCAGAGGATGATGGGTGGGTTCAAGATGATGATATTGATGTTTGAAACCAATTTTATATACTTTTTTTTTATTAACACAATATGTGAACGTGAACGAAAAGTTATCTGGATTTTTCTTGTAAGAATGTTGAAATTCAATAAATGTAATCTAAATTCTGTGTTAAATCATTTTATTTTTTATGGACTTCCTGTGAAATAGCTTTAAGTCATGAATTGATCTTAAAAAACTAATATTAAGAGTTTTCTTTTTAATATGTATTTTGAAGACAATGTACTAAATCTAAGTACAATTAACACTTGTTAGCAATTCTGATATTGTTTTACTATGGAAGTGTTCACTTTTTCTCAAGGATTGAGAATGTTACATTGTAAGAATTTTACTAAAGCAGGAGGATTTTTCTTTTGTCATTATTATAAGGTGGCTTTGACAACAATAAGTTGTGGAAGGTAATAGGTTAAATTACTAAAGCTAGGAACTTGTGGAAAGAAGACTGGAGACAAACCAGCAAGATGCCTTTTAAGTATATCTTTTGCCCACTTTTTATTTAATCAAGCTCTGTTGAGGAAAAAATACATGTTAAATGAAATAAATTATCAGACACCATTGAATCAACTGCTTCATTTTCTGAAAAACAGTTTAGTGAATAGAGTAGATTGAACAGGACCATTTGTCACAAACATGAATGAAAATGGAAATAAGTTGGTTCAAGATTATAAAAATATGCAAGTCACTGATATGAATACAGAAAATGGTATGAACATACTGGTAATTTATTGAAACAACTCTTACAAAAAAGTTGTTTTATTTTTAAATACAGGAGTTACAATAGAACAGCAAAATTATTTTTCTTGTACAGAAGTGCAGCAAATGTAAATGCATTCAGGAAAGAATAATTTAAGCAAATAACTGGTAAAGCAGCAATTCTGAAAAATTTGGAAATGAAGTAAAATTCCAATTGAATTTGAAAAATCAGGTGTAAGGTAGTTGATGTAAAGGAATATTTCAAACACATGTCCCCCTTTATATGTATTGAGTGGAAAAATTTTCTACTAATTCCCTAAAATTGTAAATTATAAAGGGTATTGCTTATTCAGCTTCAAGTACTTCTCTTTAACCTAACAGTTATATACATTATTATTAAAGACTGTACTGATGTAATTCAAACATTCATAGATATTAATGCATTTTTTTACATGTATTTGTAAAATAAATATCTTGAAACTAGTATTTTAAATATAGAAATTGTCTCATCACTAACTTTTGTGTGTCATACTTGCAGACATTGCAAGAAAAGAGTTATGAAGGAATAAAAACTCATTCTCTCAGATTTGAGTCCAAGATAATAAAAAAACAACATTCACCTAAAATATTTGAAATCAAATTAATTTTGATTCTAACAATTATCATAAATGAAAATTTTTTGGTTTATTGGGTTTTCAGGTTTTAAAAGAATTATACAAAAATTGAAATAATAGTAAAAAATATGCCAATCTTTTGAAATACGATTGTTTGCACAAAATTGCAAATTGTCACACACAAAAATCTTTTTGTTAACATCTACGTCATTAGCAACTGCTATTGGATTTAACGTTATGATTACTGTGAAGATGACATGATAGGAGGTAAAAGGGCGAACACAAATACTGCCATGACTGAGGTTGATACGATACGATTTTGTTTTTAAGTTAAATTTATTTTGCATTGACAAGTTTCTATTGACGACATGCTGACTTAAAAAGTTGAGAGAAATAATTACCTAATTTGAAATTGCTGTTCAGCATGGCTATTTTAATTGAAAATTGTAGAAATGAAAAAAATCAATTGCAGTTTTAATTTATATATTTTGTGTAGATCTGGAGGTGACTGGTGTATCACGATCAGGGAGAGTGAGGAAAAAATCATCAAAATTGACAGACTTTGAATCTCCAGATGAAATAGATAACAGATACAAAAGGCGCACAGATCGAGCTGACACACCAGGTCTAACCGATAGTTCAGGAGGTAAGTAAATGGAATGTTCAACATGCAGGCTTTAAAAAAACGGTGATTTGAAAATAGCTTAATATTCATTCATGAAAGTTTGAATTCCTGTTGTTTTTCCCCCTTCATATCATAGGCTTTGAATATAATTTCAAGCTTTAATTAGCATATTAATTTGATAATATGAACTCCAGAGGTAACAAGTGTTAAGGCAACATCTTGTGCCTTGAGCATATTGGTGATTGGGAAGTCACAGGTTTGATCTGCACCAGGTGCCAGAAGTTTTCATGATGTGTTTAGTATTATTGATGTCTGCCAAATTCTTACAGCCAAGAAAAGGGCTGATCAGTGATCCTCAAATGGCCGATTTACCAATCAGAAAAAATCTCCATTTAGTGTCTGAGATAGGCCAATGCATAACTAAATGCTATTGAGCCAGAAAAATAAGTATTAATTAAATCTTATGAGTTTGACAAATCTGAAGTAATTCTGGATAGTTCTTAGTTAAAAATTGAGTGTTTTTTGGAATTATACCTAACAATTGCTTATGTTATGAAAATGTTGTATCATCAAATTGTAATTCCTTTTTAAAGTCTCTGTTACTCAAGAAATATAAGTGATTTGTTTTACCTGGAATATTATTAATATGCACTAGTTGTAATGATTTACAAGGAACTCCAAAAACATGATTGAATTTTAACCCAGTCAAAACATGCTCAAATTTTGTTGGGCCTCCATTTACATCTGAGGTTTTAAATTATGTTTGTTTAATGCTTTCCAATGTTACCCTCTCTAATGTGTAATTTTTAGGATTAGCTACTCACCATGTTATGGGGGGTGGCAGAGGCAGAAAACCGCATGGTGCAGGGGGAGGAACTGTGATGGAAAGAGCTCATCAAGTACCATTAAAACTAGAACCAAGAAATGATTCATCAGATCAGGCAAGTCACACATTGACCTTCATTAATGGAAACTTCGAGGTAGGAGTCACACACATCTCAAAACTGTTAATTTTTTTGCAAAATATTGAAGATGTAATAAATATAATTTTATATAGATATTTTAATGACAAAACTTATGACACAAAAATAAAAAATAAAACTGGAGTATCTGTCTGAGATTTTAAACTAACTGCCTTCTTATATTCACATATGCTTATTTAGGTGATACGAAAACCAATTTAATTGTTTTTATGATTTTTGTGTTTGTCTGGGCTAATTTATGAAATGGCTCTACCAATTTTGATGCGGTTTTCATTGGTACATTGAGTATCTTTTGGGGCATAACTTGTGAATATTGTTTTATTTGTTTTTATACAAATTTATAATTTATCCAGGAATTAATAAAATTTATTTACTTTCAAAACAAAGAAGTTGCTGTTATGTGAGATTTCATATACTTCCCCTTTCTTATTCCTTAAACGAAAATTTTAATGTGCATTCCTTCAGATTATTTTTTGCAAATATCTCAGAAGCAGTGAGTAAATCCACCAAAGTGGATCCAATATTTCTGAAAACCCATAAAATTTTCTACCTACATTTTGATTCACTCTGATAGCACCTTCAGGCTTTGAAAAATTGTTTCTGGAAGTTTGCTAGTAGTATTTGTTTACAGCTATTTGTGACTATCATAGCAGACATGGTTGATGAGTCATGGCAGGATAGGGTAGTGTTACACTGTAGATAGAATTCATTCCTTTTCTTGTCTGATAATTGGGCAGTGCAGGGTATTTCAATTAGTTTATGCTAAAATAAAATGGCATATTTTGTCCTTACAAATCAAGTCTTTGTTTTGAATATGTAATTCTCATTAATATGAATGAAAGGGTTCTTCCATTGTTAAATAGAAGCTACATCTTGAAGATTAATTTGAATTTTTAAAGATCTTGTGTAATAGATTTGAAAGGAAAAATTATTTTAAAGATTTTTACCTCTTAGAATAATAGTTTTGATATGTATGTGGTACAACCAACAATAGATCCCTTATAGACTGCTTTTCATGAAATTGTAGTTGAAGGCTTTCATGGTCCATGTGTTTGCACCATCTTTGGCTAAAAAGTCAACATTTGTTTGGTTCTAGGATGATATGGCAGATGACTTTGTAACAAAAAGTGAACCTCCTGATTCAGAGTCTGATTCTGAATTGGGAATGTATCCTGAGGGAGTGGATGAAGATTCAAGCATGGATTCAATGGGTATATTGAGTTTTACATTAAAATAAAATTATGCACCCGTACATTCCATAGAGGTAAAAATGAATAAAATCTTCCAGGGACACTTGAATCATTAATATTCGTTGTATTTACATTTTTTTTTATTGAAGGATCTGATGAAGATGATGATATGGACGAAGATGGATTAATGATGAATGATCAGGCTGATGGCCGTGTCGCAGGTCGCCGAGATTCGCAAGATAATACTCCATCTCAGGTGTATAGATCAAGCTGTACTCTTTAAGAAAGACATTTTCTTCAGTATATTTGACCGAAATATACCGTATTGTTATTTAGATTAAGGAAGGAATTTTAACAATGAATGTGAATTTTGCTTATGACAGGAATAATTATTTCCCCTATATTAGGCAGATTATTTCCTTCACACACTTTTTGGAATCACAACCTCGCTGCACCCAAAACTGTTTGAACTTGGTAATTGTTTCTGAAAAAAGTCGTGCTGAACAGAGAATCAAGAAAACACGTCTGACAAGTACTAAATTGTATTAGCAGAGCATGTTAGATGTCTGTATTTCAACCTATTTGTCAATTTTTAGAAGTCCTTATTAGCAAGGAGGAATGACTGAGGATGTGAACATTGAAATAGTAGTAGATTATCAGAGACTTACATTTCTTTTTAGTATTATTTTAGTTATCTTTTTTCATTTCACAACTAGTGCAAGCCCTTGCACATGAAAATTAATGTAATGACTTTCATCAAGTGCACTGTTCAGTAAAGGCAATTGTTATATAGAAGTGTAATTGAATATAAAGATAATTCTTTGTTTGTAGGCTCAATCATTGTACATGCTGGAAAAATCCTCGAAGAAGAAATTGATTATCAGAGATGGTAAAATTGTGGGTCGAATGAAGGCACAACGGAAAGATAAAGGGGTATGTACTTGAATAGGAAATTTTTGTTCAGGTCCACCACCTTTGAAATTAATTGAAATGTCATTTGTTGTTATAGAAAACACGATTTACTGCATACATGCTGTGGGCAAAAGAAATAAGGCAAGAGATACTGAGAGTCAACCCAGATATGGGTAATTAGCCATCCAGACGCAACGTATCTGTTGATTTTAGATGTATAAACATTACTGATTTGACAATTTTTCTTTGTCTAGATTTTGCAACAATGAGTAAACGCCTGGGAGAACTTTGGGCTACTGTTCCCAACAATGAGAAATATGTAAGTTTCAAGATCATTTTAGTGTCATTGTAATTATATAAACAACCAAACAGTTTAGGGATTTTGTATAGGAATCGAGTAACGTGCATTTGTCCATCATTCACAGTTACACCATTTTCGGTCTAATAGTAGACACAATGAAGGTGACGTTTGATGCATTTCAGTCTCCTAATCTTGTCATTTTCTTTACAGATATGTCGAGAAACCTCTTAAAAATTTCTCGTTAAAAAACCCCTTCTTTTTGTGTTTGTTTTAAACTAGGGAAGAATGAAAGCAAGCATATTAATAATTTTTCCATGTAGTACATTTATTATTAAATACTTCTTTTAACAGTACGTTACATGTAAATGCTTTTCAAAATCATATGTTTGTAAATTGAAAATGTTGTTGGGCAAATATTAAATCATGCCATTAAAGAAGGTAACATATTTAAACCTACAATTTCTCCTGGATTTCTTTAAATGGTAGTAACTTGCTAATATATGCCAGCACATTAGCAGAGCCTCGAAGTTTGGCAAAATGCCTTTTTATTTTTGTTAGGATTTTATGACTAAATAATAGGAATCGCATAATTGTACTTCCAAGTTGTTTTGCTAGATTTTCATTTTGTGTTTTTTGCTTTATTTTTGGCATATTGCCTTCTTTGTGCCTGCCTTTTTCATTATTTTCCCCTTTGTTCCTCGAACCAGTCTCTTATCAATCTGGAATCATACCAGCAAACGTGAACGTTAATGAAGATTTTTTTTTGATGTTCTTAATTGTTGCTTACTGCGCTTATGAGAAATCTCATTCTATGTTTGTGTATGGCCTCAGGTCCTTTTTGAGGTCAGCATTGTCTGGACATGATATACCCTTCCCAATTCTTCTTATTCTCTCTTTGCTTGTGGCAAAGAACAAAATCTACAATTCTGTTTCAATTAATATCATTTCGAAATTAAAATGGGAGTTCACCATAGCATTTCATAGTGACAGCATTACAAGTAAAATAAATTCAAAGTCATCACACCGGACCATGTGCAATCAGGATTACAAAGAAAAGGTAGTTTCCTTCTATGTGAGTGTTCTATATTAATTCCTCTGTGTTTTTTATCCCTACTTAACTAAAATAAATGCCTGAATTCCTTCTTTAGATTCTTGCCAACAAAACAAATCTATTGGCACTCTTTGTAGCCAGTTTCCTCTAGGATGTTCTGGAAAAAATCTAAAAAATATTTAGCAATTGTTCATCTTTTCAAGACATGATAAACTCTGATATAATTTCATTTAAGTTCCAGATATTGTGTAACATCTGCACAAGGTTATGTGGTTTTATAGGGATGCCACTTTCTCTAACCTTTGCTATAACACTTGAGACATTGTCCAGAACAAAGCTATTTTCACTTTTGAAACTGATTTACAAAGTTCACAAGAGTCCAGGTAGTCATTTTATAAAGCTTCAAAGAATCTCTCAAAGTAAAATAAAGATCTTAAACATTTCTATCAGTAGTTGTGTATTTTTACATTGATGATTTTCTTGTGCAGTTATGTAATTTGTCTGAATTCAAAGAATCAGTTAGAAAATTGAACATCTTTAAGCAAGCTACAGCAAGCACAGAGTTAAGACTGAGATGAGTAAATAGTACAATTTTTGTGTAAGTTTTAAATCTCTCAGATAAATCTGATTCCATCTTAAATATACAAAATTATTATTGTAAAATGATTATTGTTGTAAGTTTTCTTTAATGTCCAAAATTGAATTACAAGACCCTTGAAATATGAATGAAAAATTTGTTTAAATAATACTTATAATAATTGTAATGAAAAGTTTTTGTTTTTTTCTAGAGATACCATGAAACCCTTCAGATTCCCTTCCCCTCTTCCAAATGAGAGCTTTGTGTTCAAACTACCAGTTTTTTATTTTATCGATAATTTTTTTTAAAAGCTTGATTTATCGTCATAAATTTGTTCATAGTTTTTCTTTTCAACTCCTTAAATAGAATATATAGAAGTGTTATAATATTATTTAACTCAGAGAATGCTTGTCTCTCTAACTTTTGTCAATTAAATAATTTTATTTACATTAGTGTTGTTATAAATAATTAAAAATTGAAACTTCAATGTCAAACTTCAGTTACACAATTATTTAAGTATATTAAATCCAAAATTGAATTGTCACTTTTTATTATTATTAGAATTGGAAAAGACGAGCAAAACGCCTTGCAGTCAAAGGCAATAGAGAAGCTCCAACAGCAACTGACGCAGCACGTTGGAAGGCTCCTCCTTCGCGTTCAAAATTTATCAATAAACAAGCAAGTAGAAGTCAAGGGCAGGCCACCAACTCCCAAAATGAATCCGTCGCTCTACCCACAAGTATTGCTGGAGGTGGTCGTCAACATGTCCGGCAGCAGGTAGTAACACAGACATCAAACCAAAATATGACTGCTAATTTGACTGTATCTCCTCCAGAAAATACCAAGTAAGTATAATCTAAATTTATATATAACACATTAATTAAAACATAGTAATGTTAGTGCTAAACAGACAAGTCTTACATTTATAACTTGAACTGAATAAATTAATATAAAATGTATCTTTCAATGTAAGGCAATCTTATTTTGAGTTCTATAAAGTAAAAATAAATAGCTCCTCCTCGCATGTAAGTGGAGACTAGTAAACCAGTAAATTTGTGAATTCCACAATTCAGCTTTTCTAAAAATTGTCATTCCATTACATTTTTTACATTAAAACCATATTTCAGGTCAAGTAATGGTACTATTTTGAATAACACAAAAGAGCATTTATTTTTCATGCAGAAAAGAGATAGTCAAGGAATAACTCTTGAACACTAGAAAGACTGCAATGCAATTTTACCTATAATGATTGCAAACAGTCAAAATGACAGCTTCAAATAATCCTTTTTTATTTTGATAAAACCTTTGTTACAATTCAAGTCATTTTAAGGGTAATGTAAAACATTTTTTGAACTAAATTATACATATTTGTTTTGGCTTATAAGTCAAATTCTTTTTGTACTGTCATTTTTGTATGGTCATTGGACTTATAGTTTTTACTATATCCATGTCAATATTTGACATTGTCAATGCTTTGTGTCACTTAAATGGTTGTGTGTACTGAAGTACTCTGTGACAATTGATCCCCCCTTGGAATATTTTGAGTCTATAGCAGTGGCACTTTAATGGTTGTGTGTACTGAAGTACTCCATGACAATTGATCCCCCCTTGGAATGTTTTGAGTCTATAGCAGTGGCTTGCAAGTATGAAATGGTCTCTTTGCAAGCAGTGGCTTGCAAAGAGACCATTTCATACAGAATTAAGCTAAATTGATGATGTTATTAAATATTTGGACTGTCCAGCTTATTAATATTTGACAGATTGAGCCATTTGTCATCATCCCAATCACATTTAAAAACAAGCAGTCATTTTGACTGCCACTCATTATTGAAGGTAAACCATGCAGACTTAGCTACTATCTCCAAAACTAAGATGTGTAAAATAATTATATTTCAGCATTTTATAAAACATCAACTATTAAAAGCCACAAAATGTTTTAATAAGAATCAATAAAACACAAAAGAAAGTAAACTTCAAAACAGTCAAAATTACTGCTGCAATCGTTCTAGTTTTAAGAACTGCACAATTGCATAACTGGAGGAAGAGACTTTGTGAGATAATAATGTTTCTAAATCAATTTTTTTAAAGCCCTTTGTATAATGTTCTTCTTTAATTGACAGTACATTATTTCAAAGCTATAGCCAGAATTCTGGTATGCCTGAGGAACATCTGGAATTTAAAATTCAATTTCAGTTCTGCATATGTTGTTAAATCTTGTAATTAATTAGATATTAAGACATTGGGAGCTTTCAGCCTTTGCATTAATTATTTTTTATTTTACCCAAACTGATCCGTCAGGTCAAACAAGGTAACGTCTGGAATACTGTCAGAGCCTGTAGTTGGACCTGGATTGTACAAAGTAGTTGGCTCACAGCCAGTAGATGTTGCAGCTCACCTTAAGCTTCTTGGAGAATCATTATCCATTATTGGTGAGCGTTTGAAAGAGCATGAGGTAAGTAGTCATACTCTTGCTTATTTCCAACTTTGCTAGCACCATCAGATTCATGCAACTCTGTGTTTTTTCAAATCATTCAATCCTCTTTTGTTTTGTTAGTTTCTTTACAATCCAGACATAATTAATGATTGTATTTACAGAATGTTATCACCAATGAACTTCGTGACTGAAGAAATGTGATATGTGCAATCCATAATAAACATATTTTCTTTTGCAGGGTCAATTTGCAGTGTCTGGTAGCCTCTCTGTGCTTCTTGATTCTCTGCTGTGTGCTTTGGGGCCTCTCCTCTGTTTGACTCAACAAGTACCAGAAACTAACGGTTGCTCACCAGAAATGCTCAGTAAAATTTTAGACAATATTGCATATTTCATGCCAGGACTATAATCTACTTATCCTAAAGTGAATAATTTTACAAACTATGGGTTTGTGGACTAATAATACCATTCTGATCCTGAAGACGAGAGGGAGTTCTAGAGCGGTTTTGTACATTCAATGATAAAGATTCTTTTTAAAAAATGTTATTTTTAATAGGATTATCTTGTTAGTGCCTCTTTTGTACTAATTAACATTACAGAATCCAATCTGTAACTTTGAACGTATTTTCTTTTTTCTAATACATTTATTTAGGCTTGAAAATTTTATCTTCATGTGAATCTTGCAGATGGAGACAGGCCAATCCATAACTTTATTCTCTCATTCAAAGACCGAAAAGAAAACTTGCAAACCTTGTATTCGTTGTAATGATTAACATAATTTTCATCTTAGGTGATATTCATTACCACGTATGATCTGCATAACATTTGTTTTTTTCTTTCGCATTTTAATGATTTAAACTCTTTTCTCAGTTTCGTAATAGATTATAGAGGATATATAACCATTTGTTAAGGAGAATTTCCTTTCAACATATTTAAAGCTGTCTACATAATAGTACAAAAGATTAAAAATTAATTATAAATTTTGTAATGCGTGTGTATTATGTAATAAAAATTTTCATTTCCCACTTAATTCTTATCATATTTCATGTTCAAAGATTCTTGTTTATCATTACTTTTTTTCCTCAATATATACAGATGGCCAATCCCAGGTAATTGACATCAAGACCTCTTAATAATCTGGAGTATATTTGATATACAATAAGATTCTATGTTAAACAAGACTGTATTAATGACAATCAATAATTAAACATTTAACAAAAAGTAGGATGAAATGAACATTTTTTTGCCTAAGAACAAAAGAGTGAATCCTATTATCATGTACTGGGACGCTAAATATTACTAGAATTAGAAACAGCTATTACTGGAGCAGTATCTGCCCACATCTATTTAACTTATACACTGAAAATATCATGAGGGAAAGCAAAACTGGATGAAATGAATGTAGGGGTAAGAATTGGAGAACTCAAAATCAAAAATATTCATTATGCAGATGATACTATAATGAAGACAGAAAGTAAAAAAGGTCTAGAACAAGTTATTACAGAGTGATAGAAGAAAGTCAAAAATCAGGGCTCAAGCTTGAACATTAAATTTACTATTGTAATGATAATAGGACACAAGGAGAGAATACATATAAATGGTTAACAGTTATAATCAGCAAATAAAGTGAAGTTTCGAGGAGTAAATGTAACAAGACTCTTTACTCAAGAGATAAAAAATAGAATTAATTTGGGAAAGGCAAACAAAAAATGTAACAAATTTGTCAAAGATTTGGGACGATCTCTGAAGATAAAAGTCAAGCTGTTATATTTCCTGTTGTACTTTATGGATGTGACGGTTGGGCTTTCAGACCCATTGATAGAAGAAAAATAGATGCCTTTGAAACAAGCCTAAATGCTTATTAGAACCCAAAACCCTGAAACAAAAACTTTTTTCGGTCATATTGCAAAAAGCTCGGTATCTTTGGTGAAAGACATAATGCTAGGAATGATGGACAGAATCCCAAAACAGGGAAGACAGAAAATAAGATGGCATGAGGAAATCAAGAAAGCAACCAATCTCACATGGACATAAGCAATGGATATGTTACAAAACAGAATAGGGTGGAGAAAACTTGTAAAGGTGGTGATGGCAAATTGGAAGACATCCTCTTAGGAGCAGCAAGGATCACACATGATCCCAGTTTTCCTACTACTACTACTACTACTGCTATTACTACAGCAACTAATTTACACACTTCCACTTTTCAAGGAATTCAAATAATTGAGACACTCAGTGCTACAGTGACTTATCCCCTAATTCTGACTTCAGAGAAAATGGCTATCACACATTTTTATGTTTCAGAAAATTCATTTCCAGTGTATTAGTGGCACAAATGTTTTTTTTTTAAATCTTTTATTTAGTTCTTTAAATTTATTTTTTGCTCTGATGTTGCAATTTTTCTGGCAGGTAACAATAATTCAATGTATAGTTGTCTCATATACAATGTCCCCAGTTACAAATATTCAAATAATAAAATCGAGAATAGAAAACTTTCCCAAAAGCATTCTTATGATTTGTTCAGACTGCTGCATAAACAAAGATGGTCTTCATTTCACTCATCAATTAATCATTTTGTGGTTCCCTACCCTTCCTGGAAAAAAAGGCTAAGTAATCCTGTTATTTCCATAAAAATGTATTAAAATTGAACTTCTTCAGACGCCAACCATAGAAAAGTACGAGCAATAGTGTGCCCATGCTGAGTCTACAGCATGATGGTAAAATGAAATATTCTTTTAGCAAATTGAATTTTAAATAAATAAATGTGTGTTGTGTTATTCTGGATTAAAATAGTCGAAAGAACATCCTTCCCCAAGATAATGGTGTAAGTATGTCACTGAGTGCAGTAGTGGCTCATGTTCCTTAGGTTTAATGTACTACATGAAAATAGGTCACAATTGCACAAGCTGTAACAAATACTTGGTGTAAATGTTTTTTTTGTAATTACTTAGTAATATATTAATAGAACAATGAATTTTAAGAAATTATTTTTGCAAGAATATCAGAAAGGAACCATTGCATTGGTTAGGCAACATTTGCAGTAATAATCTCAATTATGAGACCTATATCTAATGTAATTTCAAAGATTTCATTAACTCAATAATAGAAGATGAAATCTAAATGGTGTTATGATTATGCAAATATACCAACCCAGGTAGGATAAATGTCAGAAAAAGCCAATGAGCATGCAGCCAAAGTCTGTGATTGAGTGATGAATGATTTTTTTTTTAATTTTAGTCCTCTTACACTACCATCTATAAAATTAATTGGCATTCCATGATATTGTATTTAGTACAAGAATTGAATCAAATTTTTATTTATGTCTTGCATTTAATTTTTAGAAATATCTGAATTGTGCATTGTATGATTATATACATATCCTGACTTGTCATACATGGCATATGCTGTATTTATGTGATAAATATATTATTATTAATCTCAGAGTTACTTTGGAAAAGCATTGGACTGGAGGACTTTTTATGTTAATCGTGTAGGCTGGACCCTTGCCATGAAATTGGACTACCCTTCACAAGTTTTTTGTAATTAAAACATGACCAGTAAATGTGATGCCTTTCCACTAGGTCTTCATTGTAAATGCTCACCAAAAACACACTAGTTCTGCGCTCATTCCCACTGAATAAACTGTTTGACATATTTACCCTGCATAATTCTAATTAAAGCACAATGTCGTGGAAAATATCAAAGAAACTGACGGAAAGAATCTATCTGATCATATGTAATCATAAGAAAAATAGTCTTTGGCAATTCCTTGCTAGAAAGAAAACTTGTATGCTTTATTGTATATCTTATTGCTTTATCATTATTTACCTTAAATTACAATACAGCAGTAGTTTATTTTGCACTACATAACACCTTATATAAATAAATATATATACACAACCAGGTCTCAAAAACTCAACACGCTTAGGTGCAGATTAAAAGATCAAATCACTATACATACAAAATTGGGATAAGCCACAGCTAAGCAAGACTATCTTATCACAAGAGTATAGAACTATACATAAAATGTTATAAAAAATTTAAAAATTAACTTTGACCTAGAAAATAAAAACAAATGCAATTTGAATCACAAGCATCGCTGGTGAGGAGGGGGGAGGTCAATGACCCACCCAATAATCAGTAGTTTTGTTCTCATTTCATTTTTTATCATTAACACATATATTAACTAGGTTGAGTTACTTGTCAGTATGCTTTCAGGTAGAAATATAATAGAACTGCAAATAAGAGCTGAACTTTAACTTCCTTCAAAGAGATAAATGTACTTGAGAAATAGCATCACATACATAGTTGTTATTGAAAAATTTTATCACTAAAAATTCATTAAAATTTTACCTGCCACACAACAAGATTTGCTGGAGCTTCTCAACCAAGACACATTAGTGGCCAGTAACATTAACACAGCAATCTTCAGTCTTATCAGCATTACAAAATTGATAGTATGTGATTTGGTTTAAGATAATTCATTTTTACTTAAGTCAATAATGTGAACCTTTTTAAAAATGTTATTTATTGTTTCCTAAGTTAATAGTGTGTATAATTGGATACATGAATAGATATGACATAGTTTGACCTACCGCTTGCTCCTTGTTAACTCCAAAAAATCTATAGATAAATTGAGGCTTTAAACAACAATTTCTTGAATATGCAAGCAATTATTTCCTCTGATACCCTCCCTCCAATTTTACATGGCAGTGATGCTCATGATTTGAATGCTTTTAAACCTACATTACTTTTCAAACAATTATATCTAAATATTGTGTGTTATCATGCATGTTCATAAGTTAAGACAAGTTTCCTTTTCTTTTCTGATTTCTTTAACATTCATATTCTGCACAGAGTTCCTAAATTATCTAATATGCCAACAAACCTATAAGATACTCTGGAGCTAATACTAGCAACCGAGATGAACGTGGAGTGACAGATACTGAATATATCAGTAACCCTGAAGTAGCTGATGCAATCTCCAAATAAAATTGATCACTGGTTAATACAATATTTGTCTATCAACCGTTCCGGATTCCATTATGAAAATAAAAGTACAACCTGATTCAGAGGTGCCTACATCTACTGAAGTTTTTTAAAATGCTGCAGAAAAAAAAAATGCAGATTTAAAACCTTGAGATTTCTTAAATATAAAACATTAGATTAAAGAAATATTCACTTATCGACAATAATCACAGAATCTTGGTGCCATTTTCACAAAAATATCAATCTTCATATATAAAGGAATTAGAGCACCTCCAAACTTGCAGGAGTTGGTATCCATTAAAAATAACTTTTGTCTTCATTAATTAAAATATACATCTTTTAACAATTAACATGAAAATGTAAGCTTAATTTTTCACAACAGTAACCTGTCACTATATAACTATATTCTCAAACATTTACAGGTTGCTGCAGACAAACTTTTGACGTTTATATTTAAAATAAATATTTAAATAGAAATTTCAACAACATATGAAAAACCAAGTAACAAATGAAATGGTCTTATCTATTTGGAAATATCAATCCATTATTCACTGTATTACTCAGTTAAGGAGTTACATTTTACTGCAAGTGAATACAGATAGTTCCTTTAATAAAATCGCTGGCAAGATAGATCCCTTCTAATAATTAAATAAATAAAAAGGTGTTATCCAGAATCAAATATTCATATTTGATACCAGATCACACCTTTTATTTATTTAATTAGAGAGTTGCTATTTAGTATCACAAGTTCGCTATGTTTAAAATCATGCCTTTCCTGGAAAACTGGGCCTACCTAAATCCTACCACTTTTTTTTAAGCAATTGTAGGTGACTACTGCTTTATGAATTTTCACAAGCCACTATCATACCTATGAAGAGATCTAGATATTGCACAGGAAAGAGATTCATAATACTTCATACAAAAATTCTAATGATTCAAATCTGAAATATTGGGTTGTAGTACTATTCTCTTAGATTAACAAATTAGAAAAATGGTCATGGTAGCATGCATTCCTCTCAAAAGGAGGAAATGTATCCTCATTGCTCATTATGTTGCTCAAGAGCTTTTTGCCAGCAACAGCACAGCAGTTTCACGATATAAAAAGCAGGGGAGGCCACGCTAAGGACACATTCCGTTACTTAAAACTTCGTTGCTCCAATTGTGAGTGCCCCAAACCCAAAAATATTGGTCAACTATCAATAACACAATGGATATTTTAAATGAGGGATATCTGAGGAAAGTCGTCAAGACTTAATATTTGTGCATTATCAAACTAAGTCTTTTAAGCATGAGACCCAATTCATACTGTACACACAACTACAAATATCATTATTAATGAAAAGTCAGTACTTACGGAATTACAATTCTATAGTTAGAATAATGTTCCAAGTTTATCAGCGACAAATTACGAAAACATTTACATGGGAATTTTCAGAAGTGATTTCAGGAATTAAAAATTAACTTACTCAGAAATAACAATTACATTATCTTTACCCATTTTGCTATGTGATGCATTTTCATTAATTTTAATGTCAGACAATATACTTGAAGTTTATAAATCACTCAAAGCTTGAAACTGACAAATAACAAGAATGGGTTTCCCACAAAAAATATGAAAATTTCAAAATTACAGAAAACGGCAGGAAAAAACATTCCACAAGAGCTGCTTCAGGTACAAAAAAATAAAGTACGATAAAAGAGGGAAAGCACATCACTTTGCAATTAACTAAAGAGTAGATGCTTCCAATGGTTACAAAAACAAATTTAACCAATTTGTAATAAATATTCATGTGGCATCATTTTAATAAGATTTCAAAATAAATTTTAATAAAAGTATCTACATACAAGACTCACTTCAGTTCTTGTTTGTTTTTATCATCGATGTTCTAATGCAAAATTTTACTTTAAACTGTTGCACAAAAAAAATTCATTCCTACAAAACACAATTGTAACAACAGATATAATATAATATTTGATATAATTAATTTCGCCAAGAACAGAATTCTTCCGAGTTTGTTAAAAAAAAATGTAAGTGTATCATCAAAAAAATCAGGGAAATCATGACCCACCCCCTGTTTTAACAATCTTGATTTAATTTCAGAGTATTAGAAAGAAAGAAGGTTTGTGGGAAAAAAAATGATTAGAAGACATCAAGAAATGGGAAAGCAGCGCTCTGGGGCCTTGCAAGATCTGCCAAAAAGCAAGCACTGCCAGCCCATCCCTCGTAGAGGCTAAATGGACAATCAGGTGTGCGAGCTCCTTTCTCAAACTCTGAGGTAAACATAAACTGAGCAAATGCTTGGGCCCGATGAAGATATTTCTTATCATTTGTCAGGCGATACAACAACAGGAACACATATGCATTACCTGCCACACCATGGCATATTCCTGAAACAGATTATTCATGTTTAATTCATATAACCATTTTAAATAAACAATTACAATATCAATCATGGTTGAAAAGTTTGCAAAATTGGCAGTATTTCAAATTTCATCTTTCAAATATTATTTATTTTTTAGATAAATTATTATTGATTTCAAGCTCAATATTTTTTTTTACCAATGTAAGTTCTTAACATTTTTAGTTTCAGAATAACAGAAGAAAAATGAACATCAAATCTATGAATGTTAATTCACATTTAGTTTACTTATAAACAGAATATACTTAAAGGCCGCCAATGGAGGGAGAGAAAAGATAGACGAAGGGGAGAGGTACACAAAGATTACAGAAGAGCTCAAAACAGACTCAAGACCACTGGAACTACAAATTTACAAGATGAAATAGTCATGATCACACAGTGGCGGATCCCACTATGATGATGGCATTAGCCCCTTGCTATCAGCAATATTCTGTAGTAGTCTGTATAAGAGTTCGTAGACTTCCGCGGACGGAGTCAATGTATTCTTGGCTATCCGGGATGAGCCGTCAGCCTACATCAGCAGTATAGCTCCACAGAATCTGAGAGAAGGCCACAGCAAGATGGCCGAAACGTCAGTACATGACCGAGACACGGCTCATCCCGGATTGCCAAGAATAGTCTGTATAAGAAATAAAACGAAATAATTATGCTCCATTCTAAATAAGGAAAATTAATTTATTTCAAGACTAAGGAAGTAAACTCACAATGGCCTTGTAACATTAAAATGTGTTGGTCTTAATCTTCTCCAAAAATACTAAAAATTATTTTCTTCACTTTAGATTTAAAGCAAAATATGTTTAACATTATCTTTACCTACTGACTTTAACTGCTATTCGTATTTCATGAAAAAAGATTAGGAGTGACATTATCACACTGTAATCACCAGAATAAACTCTCTGATTTGCAGCATTTGTATTTGTATAAAAGATCTTCAATTTACTTACAGTTAAATTATTTCAAACAATGTAAATTAAAATTCAAAGTTCTTTTCCTATTATTCCTTTTGTTCATTATCAGGTATCAGCTAAAAAGTTTTCAGAACGAAAGTAGTTTGTTGAACAAGAAGTTTAAAACCTATTTCACTAGTATTCTTTAGTGTTGACCTACCTGGTCCTTTTTTAAGAAGACCTTTATTCCATACAATATCTCCACACTTTATACATGCTTGCAAATATTTTTCATCCTTCCAATGCAAATATGCTTTGGCCATTAGATACACAACACCTAGAAAATTAATATTTGAATTTGAATAACATTAACTATTTTTAGACAAGACAGTGTGAAAACTTTAAACTACCTGGAGCACCATGGCACCAGTGTACCAATTCATCTGATTCTGACCGTGCCCTTCGGCCCAATTCATCTGTCGCACATGGAAAATTGCCTGATGCAGTTTGTAGATTCAATAGGTAATCAACACTAGTTCTGACATCAAATTCAGCTTTGGGATCTGATTGAAGGTAGCCAGGAACTGTCAAAATCATTTGCAATATAGTACTTAACCCATGAGCAGCTCCTGTAGATGAAAGCATAAATACAACAACAGAACTCTAAAAATATACTACAAACTGTGCAGATACATTCTGAATCCTTACCTAAATACTCTGTGTCATAGTATGCAAACATTAATGGACATGGGCTTTTATATTTGCGAGCATATTCTCTTCCAGACTGTATCATTGAATCACACAAATTTTTCATAATTTTAGGAGGAATAGTGCCGTTTCCAAGTTCTTTCTCCAACCACAAAGCCCCTGATAAATAACCTGCCCGCCCAACAAGTAATTCATCACCACCACATCTCAAATAATGAACTGGCATGCAGTTATCTGCTGCTTTAATGTACTTCCTTAGATACTTTTCAGCCGCCTCTTTATTTCCTGTTAAAATTTATTGGATTATAAATTCACTCAATTGAAGCAAGTGACAATTTATATAAAATCTATTTTACCTGCAGAGTTATTTAATACAGCTGCAACTGCATATATGCCGGCATATCCCAACAGGAAGGCGGATTTTTGTGAATGGTCACCTTTGTGAGAATCAATGTAGGATAACGAAGCATCGATATAATTTAATCCCTTTTTAACAAAATCAGCTTTTTCAACGCTACAGAGAGGTGACTGACTCAAAAAATAGTACATGTAACCTATGCCTCCAACGCCGACATACAATCCCCCGTCAGCATCATGAACTCGAGGAGGCTGTCGTTCTTTGATTACATTCACTACTTGTAATAATTTCTGTTTCCATTCATTTTCTGAAACACTAATTTCTTCGCCGTCGTAATCGTTCAATTTGTTAAGAAAATACCTTTTCGGTTGGCTCATCGTTGAATACGACACAAATTTTAGATGAAATTCGCACAATGCAGGGAAAAGTAATGCTTTGAAAGTTTTACGCGTTAATGAAATCAACATTCACTTCATAATTAATACAAAACAGACCTGAAAGTTCGCAAATCAGTACGGGCGCCAAAGCAATTTTTTTTTTTCTTTCTTCTAGACTACAACGGAAGAGATACGTCCCGGGAATTTCATATACGCACTTTCGCCCAGCAACAATTTATTGAACTACCAACGCAACGACATCACTTATTTTTCTTCTTTATTTAGAAACATCGAATATTCATTGTATCGCAATATTAAACGCATTTTTGCTTGAATAACGTTCAGAATGAGTAACTGGTTGCAATATCGATAGTCGTGAAAAATGTAATAATTTTCAGATAAGCCAAACATTGACAGCTATGTAATATTTCAATGTTGGAGCTACTGATGAAAACCCTCCAAACCGGGAAATCGAGGTTTGATCCAGACATACGCATTGATACCATTTTAAGCTTAAATAGTAGTAGTTTACCCGGTCATGAGCAGAAGTAGACATTATAATTGTATTATTATAGGTTCTTGGCTTTCCAGGAAAGCCACGTCCGTAAGACTGTCTACAAAGCTCATAAATAGAGTCCAAAAGTTTGACAAAATGCCTTTTTATTATTTTTACGATTTTATGGCTTTTTTTAAAAAAAATTTCTGTAGTATATTGTAGTACGCTTCCATAAAGGGCAGTAGCAGACGATATCTTAAATATTCTATGCAAAATTGCTCCCTGGATTGATCATAGACTAATCGTGGGGTGCATACTTCGACAGACCTAGAGTTCGTTGTAGGAATCGTGCTTTTACTTTTTCTGGGTCTACTAAGTTTTCCTTTTTCATGTGTTCCCATATTAAATGGATACCCCACGTAATTAAGAGAGTGGTTGTAAGTTCGGAAAGTTTCATGGCGGTACGTAATCATATCTTAGGTAAATTCCGGATGCTGTTCATGACAGTAATGGCAGCTATGATTTTCTTTTATATGTGTATGGAGTATACATTGAGTTTGGCCTCGTATCCCTTTTGATGGCAGAGCTGTCTGTACATGATATACCCCCCCTCTGTCACTCTCTCTCTCTCTCTCTCTCGCTTGCTCTCTCGATCTCGCGCGCGCTCTCTCTCTCGCTCTGTCTCTCTCTAGCACTCTTTAGCTTAACTCGCAACCAATGTCTGGATATACCACCTGTTTTGGTAATTTGGCAACGCATGAAATACCTTTGGCATCCCTCTCACTTTCAGCTACCACGGCTGCGGGCCCTCAGATTTCGGAGTGAGAGAATGTGGCTAATTTTAGTTGGAAGAAAGAGAAAGCATTTCTTCTGTCCTTGTTAGTCTTCAACGTACTACAGCCACTGCACTGAAAAGAGTAAACTTCTGTCTCTTGGCAAAAAGTGGTCACTTTGAGCATTTTCAAAAATTACTAAAATGTGTTTTTTACTAGCTTCTCACGTCATTAATATTTGTATTAACAGCGATTTGTTTACATTATTGCATTTAAGGGTACATATGCTTAGAATAATATATAAAGTTTCTTGAAAGCTCAACAATTTTCTGTGAAGATGAGCTCAAATTTTCGAATTTTTAGAAACGCCCAAACATTTCTCAAAAACGACTCAACATTTTTTTCTTCAAACATTTCGTATGGATAATACTAATTATACTGTTTAAGAATATAAAAAATTAATTTCATTGTATTTTTTTTTTCAAAAACTACACAAATGTTTTTTTTAATCTCTCATGTTTTAATACGCACATTTCCAACAATTTATATACATTATTGCATTTGGGAGTAGAAGCTCTTCAAGTAACTTCCAATAATTGTTTTCGAAAACTCAATAGTTTACTGTGCAAGTTTCAAATTTCGTATTTACTAGGCTGTCCGGGGCATTACGCCCTGAGGAAGGTCGCAGAATGGCGACCGAAACGTCACCTTCGCCATGGACGCGGCATCACCCGGACAGCCTAGTAAATACTGACTCCGGCCGCGGAAGCCTA